TCTGGCACCAAGTCATTGGGATCTCCAGGTGAACAGCAGCAGCAATGTCAACAAACTGAATAAGTAACCAATCCTGTTACAAAAGAGGAAGGTCAAAGCATTGATTATCTGTCATTTTCAATGACAGGTAGCAAAATGATCACATCTGTGCTGGATAGATGCTAACAGTTAATTAAAAATTTTAAAACAAAATATTCAATTTTTAAATATCAAATTGGATAAATTTTGTTCCATATTGTAAGCTTAGCTTGTCAGGGCTAGTGTTGGTATCTAGCAGTACTTAAGAACTTGGTTTAAAAATCTAGATGCATCTCATTCAGAAAGGAATAATTTTTTGAATGTTTTACATCAAGCCCAATAGAAAAGAAGTGATTTTTTAAAAATCATTTGACTGCTTCGGGATTGCATACTGAGCAAAGGTCTGGTAAGACTCAGTGGTTCACTATCTAAAGGATGATAGAATCTCTAACAGTAATGTCCTAGTTTTCCATGATTTCCTGATCAAATGTCAACTACTGAAGTTGGCAATTTCAGTGATTCAGTCACTGGCAGCAACATGATCATCTATGTTCGTACACCTTGATCCTATACCTTGAGGTTGGATATGAAATATTCTTGTAGATTTATAAACAAAATATTATAACTTGTTACTTAAGCTTTAGAAGGACTTGTAGGAAAGCAATATTATCCAACTGGTGTCTAATTGAACAGTGATAGAAACCATCTAAATCTAATTGTTTGCAGTTGCTCTGTAGTTTTGAAATGTTCCTCTATGATTTTTCATTAAAACTGTGATTTTCTCACTCGTCTAAGGACTGTGTTTTCTAGCAAAGCCATAGTGTTCAAAGAGATAGCATGGGGATTTTAATTTCGATAGTTTTAACATGAAGCTTTCAAAGGTCAGAGAAAATTGTACTTTTGCTGAAAAGTCAGTGAGGCTTTTTTAGTGAGCAAGGGATCAAATTGACACATCTTTTTAAAATGGCATTATTGGGGGAAGAAAAATTCGATGCTAACTCAAAGGGATTTTTTTTAAATTTGAGAAAAGGTGCAACTTGGATTTTTGCTTTCACTTTTGCATATGGTCGCAATCTTATGGGATGTTGGTACTGTGCTGTCATCATTGACTTACGGAATTATTTATCATATGTAAGTGGTATTACCAGAATTAACCAGTCAGAATTCCTTGCTTATTTCAAAAGTTGTATAACAATAATGTTTTCTTGTATGTTTTGCTTAATTCTGCGCACACATTCTACAAAAGCACTCAAACAAGTGTGAGGAATCAGTGTCATGGTGATTTGGGTTTGCACTTCTCATATACTCCACGTATTTCCATACATTCTTTGCCTCTTGCTTTTCCCTTTGTCTGTTCTTCCTCTCCCTCCTGTAGGCATTGGTTTTGTTCTGAGGGAGAATATGGCCAGAAGTGGCAATGCTGTTTATGTCCATAAGTGGAGCATGCAAGGCTCCAGATGGCCACTCTATAGACTGTCAGCTGTGTAGAGATATCTTTAAACGGTCTGTTCAGATGTATTATGAGACACCTTTGGAGTAGGTGGCACTTGAATCTGAGCCTCCTGGCTCACAGGCAGAGATACTGTCGTTGTGCCTCGAGTACCAAAGAGTTAGAATTTTCTTTGACAGCTTGGAAATCTGTTACCTTCTGTCTCGCTTAGTGAATCATGAGGGTGTGAGAGAGAGAGAGATGTAAAGATGGAAAATCGAGAGATAAGAAAAGGACATAGGTATCCAGTTTGATTTTTAACTTTTAATTGGGGTACATCTGGAATCTACAGAATGTTCAGAAGTAGTAATGTCATCTCCAACATACTGGGTATTAATTCCACACCCAGAAACAATCCATGTATTTAAAATTATTCATGTGATTTAAATTATATCAAATCCTCTGACTGTCAGAAATGAATATTGGTTGTTTTAAAAAAAAAAATGAGAACTCAATGAATTTGGAAATCAATTTGCCAGGTCTAAGAACAATTACCTAAATTACAGTTTGGGAATTTCTATCAGATCATTGGCTGAAACTGTCCCTTGGATTGCATAGATGTATGAACCCTATTATTAAAGATCTCTTAGCCTCTGGCTGACTGAAACGATGAATATTGCAGGACCCAAATCTCAAATCCAAAACTAAAATGGAGGTTTACTTGGCAGCTGTGATACCTGTTCTCTGATATGCTTCACTGTCTTAACCTATACCAGGCACCACAAAACACTGGAAAAGTACCATCAGTAGTGCCTTTAAGATCCCCAAAATCTAGTAGGAAGAAAGATAGTCGAACCTTTTCATCTTCTCCAAATCCAACATGTCCAGCATCAAGGCACTAATCGCTCGAAAGGCAACTCTCTTGGACTTGGCATGTTTTTCCTATGCCTGACAGCAGATTCACAGCTCTTCTCAGGAATCCTTCAAAACCAGGAGAACAACAAATGCTTTGGGGATGTTGTCAAAGCTTCCTTGAAGAGGTCATTATACCTGCCAAGGTATGGGAGAGTCAGGCTTATGACTGACAACGATGGAAAGGTTTCATTCAGAAAGGCATCAAACCATTAAGGAGACTTTGTTGGGAACATATGGAGATGAACTCATGTCAGAGAGAATGTAGAATCTCCGAATAGCTCATCTGCACTGATTGAGCTTATCAATCATCTCAGGACCCTTTTGAACCGGAGTGGAAGGAGTCATTCTCAATCACTAAGCACCAACCAATGTTGGTGTAATTTGCTGTGCTTTATGGACAGATGTTAACTGAGTCATAGACTGTGTTTATGTAAAATAAATTCAAATATAATGTCATCCAGGTATGGCAGTTCTTGTCCCATATGCTGTCCAGTGAACCATTTGGCAGAACAGATTGGGTACGCCCTTTGTAA